ATTTCCATTTTTGGAGTTAGAGAAGGATCTACAAGGACAATAAAAAGTTGTGGGACTAGGTGTCTTGCACTATATCAAAAAGATTTTGATTTTCAAATTTAGGCAGGACTGATTTTAGCACTGTTTTATATGCTATTGATATGGTGTTCTTTGTTCTAGGTAGCTATTCTTAAGTGAATTGATGGCTTGGTTATACCTTGAAGGAAACGAAGATTGAATCTTACTCTGAATGTGTTATAGCTTTCAAAGATTGATAAAATTGATTATTTTGAAAAAATATAATTTTTCTACAATAATAGTATTTGCTATATATATTTGTGGTCAACAATATGTGGAAAAATTCATTGGTAATTTTTCATTAACTTGCTATTGATGAAAGTAAAATATTACAAATATTCATTTATTGTTTAAGTTGTCTTTTCTCATTTTGATTATTGATGATGATAACGTTACCGGTAAAAGAGATTTGGCTCCTGTTGAAGATTTTACAATATTAGAAGATACTGCTTGACTTGCCATTGTGCGTTGAATAAGTGTTGGAGGATCGTGATATTACAGGATTAATTCTTAAGATCATAAATGGAACAAATCTAGTGTGAGAAAAAGCTCTTGGGATGTTGAATATCAGGAAATTTTTTCTGGTGTGAATTTGCATAATTATTACACTACTTACAATTACAATTACCATGTACCATATACTATATACAAAATTAAGTTATTCCGTCAAACAAAAAATTTGCTTTTTCAATTTTTGGTTCAAAGGTGCGTTTCACGATTTTATGCTAGGTTTCTTTATTATTTTGATAATAATATATAATAATACTCTATAACTTTTATTCTATATTTTTTTAATGCAATAGAAAGTGTCGGCAATGCCGGTAAGTCAAATATACCGAAAAAAATTTAAATTGATTAAGAATGAACTATTACTATGGCAACTTGTATTTAATTTGCTGCGACATTTGGTTGCACAATTCAACCTGGTAAATGTATGGAGTTACATGTTATGGTTATTATCATTGTCATTATCAATATCATTAATCTCTATGATAATGTCTCCATAAGATTCTGTTTGGGCCACTTTAATCAGATTCTTTGTTGCAAGACCTATATATATTTATATAGAAACAAAAATATTGATTAATATAAGTAATATGATGGATGATAATTACAACACGCATATGCAATAATTCATACTCAGGATATGATAAAATGATCGTGTAACTTGGGATTGTTTCATATTATGAGCGTCAATTATATCTTGGTAAATGGCACTAGTAACTTTTGCCTCATACATTAGTGATTTAACCGATTCCATGAACGCCATTGATTCATGTTCTTGATTTAGATTTGAATCATTTTCCATAACAATACCACTTCCAACACTACTCCCAATACTTCTATTTCTTGACGAATAATATCTTCCTTGATAATATTCTGATGCTAAACTACCATTACCCTCATCGCCTCCATAATTATCTAAAAAACATCATCACTATCGTCACTATTATTAATAATCGAACAAGAAAAAAGCAAAAATAAATATTAATCTACCATCAACTATTGGAAAATCCGATAATTGACCGCTATTACTTTTTGATAAATCCAATAATGCTCGATTAAATCCAATCGAATTTCTTTGGTTTCTATTGTCAACACTTTTTTTTGAAAATTTATTATTAAAGTTAATAATAATAATAATAATAATAATAATAATAGCAATAATGTCACTGTTTGCTATTGTTATTGAATATTTTATTTACCTTTCGACTACTCCTGATAAATCAAAAAAATCGCTACCACTAGCACTACCACCATAATTAAATCCTCCCAAAAAATCATTATCAAAAAACCGATCTAATAATATATATTGAAATCAATTATTATGTCAATTATAAGTGATTAATAAAATAATTACCGCTGCTGTCATGAGATCTATTCAAACTACTATCTCTACTCCTTCTAAGCCCAGATGATAATGATACATTTGTTGAACTTTCTCCTCTCCTCAACACTTCTGATTCAACATCTTGTAAACTGCTTGTTCTATCATGCTTTTATTGCCAGGACAATAGAAAATCATTTCGTTAAAACTATCAACTAATCAATAAAAATCAAACCCCGTTATACAGAACTTACTTCTTTGTTAATTTCAGGAATGTTAGTAGTAAAAGATAGGCTAATTGGTTCTTGCAAATAAATATCATTACCTTGAAAATATATCAAAATTCATTTTTATTATTTAATAATGTCGTATAAATATATTAATATGTAAATATAAATAATATGATCGCGTACTAGATAGCATTGGCGGTGGATGGGTTGTTCTTTGTCTGACGATATCATCTATTAAACCAAAAGAAAATAAATTTACAATCCATTGCATTAAATTTATAAATTATATATAAATACACATGCTAATGTGTGTATATATTAGACCTTGTAGCATTGGTGCACAATGATTCTCCCATAAAGTTACCAATGGTCTTGCTCTCACTATTATAAAATGTTTTCAATCAATAAATTGTTTGTGATTTTTTTATATGTTATTTTTATTATCAACTTAACGTGGTAATCCAGATGTATATAATATATTATTCCATTGATCTTTATATTTTTGGCTAACATTCTTTTATTTTGTATTTATAAACATATCCATCATATATTTATTATTTATCAAATTTAAACCATAAATAATTCTTTTTAAAAAAAAATTTGTCCAAACCTTTTCTCTTGCTTTTTGTTCAGCAATATCCAAATCAACAACAACGCTTTCGCGCATTTGAAGAATTTGTTCATTTGTTAATTCTGCTGGTTCATCGTACATATTTTGTAGCCTACGTCTACGACGACGTCTCGGTTGTGTCGAGACGGATGACCTTCTATTATTTTCTTCTTCATCAATAACTCGTGGTTCAATTACTACTTCCATCTCATCCTGTCCAATCCTTTGTTCATCTTGCCCTTGTTGCTCGTATACTTCCTATTTATCATGTATATGTCATAATTAACTGATTAATTGATTAAAAGCTAAAAGACAACTAACCACAGTATTTTGGAAATCATGATGATTTTCAACACCATCATGAATTTGAAGTTCAGTTCTACGCCTTTTGTGGTCTCTTGATTGATCGACATTATTATGTTCGTCTCTAACTCTATGCTCAATCTCTTTGATAGTATCAGAATTCAAACCATCAGTTATTCCCTCCACTTTCTTTTCCATGTTCATTATCGTCTAAATAATTAGGTTAGCTTCCACGTTAGGATCACGTTCTCATCTTCGTAAACTTTCAAGGAAAGAAATTAATTCAGTTAATTTGGTTAAAGCTTGGTAAACATTTTATCTATTGATCTGATCACATGAAATACATTCTCTTCATACATATCTATATATTCAATATCAATATATGAATTTATTTATTATTATTCTAGTGGCTATCTAAGTTCACCACCGGAACCACTAGCACTTCGATTATCTTCTAATTTATTGTATGGAATTACACGTTTATATCAACAACAGTACCAATTTTATTACGGTAATAGACAATTATTATATAACAATAAATATAAACATAATTTATATATAATTTACAACATATAATATATATGTATATAGTTTGCAATCCTTTGCAATACCAGGAAGTGTGATGTTGAGTGTTTTAGGTGGAAGCTTATGGGGAAGTTGGAAGGCTTTAGTGATTGTTTGTTTTGTGAGCAAATTTTATTTATTTATTTATATGATCATTCTCTAAACACTAATTAATCAATTATGAATAAAATAATAATATTATTATTGATTGAAAAAAGTGTTCAGCAACAGGAGCAACAATTTGTTATTTATTATCTTATTACTTCGGTAAAAACATCACTGAAAAATATTGGAAGGAACGTATGATTAATTGGAATCAGCAAGTAACTAATTACTATTATTGTTATATTATAATAATAATAATATAATATATTACTTGAATACTTATATACTATCTCAAAATCCTTCTTATAGTTAAATGAGCATAGAAATAATTTGTTTTCTTATATATTATTTTTGAGAGTAACTCCATTTCTACCAAATTGGTTCATCAATATTGCATCTCCTCATTTAAGAGTTGATGTTGGTAAATTTTATTGGGCAACATTCCTTGGTAATTATTAATAAGAAGGATATTTATTATTGTTATAAAAATAATTACTAAGATGCGCTGATTTCTGTAGGTGTCGCTCCACTTTCTTTTATCCATGTCCAGGCGGGAGAAACTATACATGAAATGTCAGAAGCTGAGAACTTTACATTTCTAACAATTCAAAATATAACCACAATCATATTAATCAGCATTACTGCATTAATACCAATTGTGTTAAAATCCAAGTTCGCCAATTGATTGATTGGTTGTGATTTATATATGATTTTTTATTACATTTTCCATTTCTCATTTTTCATTTCTCATTTCTCATTTCTCATTTCCCTTTTCCCTTTTTTTTTATTATATAATTGACACTATACCATATTAAACATAACAATAATGAATGCAGTTAAAAATTTTTTTTGTGAGACTACATGTCGTGTAATCCACAAATTATGTTGTGTGCTTTGATTGTGCGTGTGTTATGTGTTTGTGTAATTTCCAATATTGAAAATACGTCACAATTCCCAACCTATTTTATTACTAATCTCATTTTCCATTATTTATTTATCCTACATCATATTAAAAAATTAGTAGTTGGCTAATTTGCTAACGTTATTTAATTTTTTTTAAAAAAAAGAAACAATTTAATAAAATAATAAATATTATAGTTGTAACGCTTTATTAATGGGTAATGCTGCTTCAAAAAAACGATTGTCGAACATCATAAGCGATCATGAAAAAGGAAAGGATAAAAGAGATAATAATGGACCTAATTCCGTTTCTGCTACTTCCAAAGACAATTTAAGTGTTGAAACAAATAGCAGAAATGTAAATAATGCTCTTTCAACGCTAAATAATAACATAAATAAGTTAGAAGACAATAGCAATAATAATAATAATAGTAATAACGGTAATCTAATGTCTCCATCAACATCAATGGAACCCATTCTTTTACGTTCTTCTAACGACAACAATGAGAATAACAACAACAACAACAACAACAACAACAACAACAACAACAAAGGTAATAATAACGGTAATAGTAACAATAGTAGCAATAGTAATATTAAAAGAACAGATTCAATTGGTTCGTCTCTTGCAAATACACTCTCATATGGAATTAGTAGTACTTTTAGTGGCAATAGTACTAATAGCAGTAGCAGTTATAATAATAATAATATTAGCTTACCAACATCGCCAACATCACTCAATGAACGTATGAAATCTATTGATATAGATGATATGATACAAAGACTTTTAATGGTTGGATATTCAAATAAAGTTTCCAAGTCTGTATGCTTAAAAAATGCAGAAATACAATCTATTTGTCAAGCAGCACGTGAAGTATTTTTATCACAACCAACATTGATAGAACTTACTCCACCGGTAAAAATAGTAGGTGATGTTCATGGTCAATACTCTGATCTTATAAGATTATTTGACATGTGTGGGTTTCCACCCAATGCCAATTATTTGTTCTTGGGCGATTATGTTGATCGTGGTAAACAAAGTTTGGAGACAATCCTACTTCTGCTTTGTTATAAAATTAAATATCCTGAAAATTTTTTTTTATTAAGAGGAAATCATGAATGTGCAAATGTTACCAGAGGTAATTTATAATATTTTTAATTACAATAATAATCATATTATTAATATTAATATTAATATATATATTCACACTCTCTAATATTATTTATTGTTTATTGTTTATTTACAAGTATATGGATTTTACGATGAATGTAAACGACGATCAAACATTAAAACATGGAAGACGTTTGTAGATGTATTTAATTGCCTTCCGATTGCAGCCGTTGTAGCAAACAAAATATTTTGCGTGCATGGAGGACTATCGCCTGACCTATCGTCGATGGATGAAATACGAGGTATTAGACGGCCAACAGAAATACCGGATTACGGTTTATTGAATGACCTACTTTGGTCAGATCCTTCAGAAACAGCAATTGATTGGGAGGATAATGAACGTGGTGTCAGTTATTGCTTCGGAAAAGCAATAATCCACGATTTTCTAAATCGACATGACTTTGATTTGGTATGTCGTGCTCACATGGTTGTAGAAGATGGTTATGAATTTTTTAACGAACGGACATTGGTCACTGTATTTTCAGCTCCTAATTATTGTGGAGAATTTGATAATTTCGGGGCTGTGATGAGCGTCAATGAGGAATTATTGTGTAGTTTTGAATTGCTCAAGCCACTTGATGCCTCAATGATTAAACAGCAGCAATCCAAATCAAAACGAAGGCTAAGGTATGAATATATATTTTAGTGATAGAATGATAATATATTTATATTTATATAGACAGATGTTTTAATTTTTATAAATTAATTTTTCTTTGACTTTCCTCTTTTTTCTAACTTCTTTCTCCAACTTTATTTTCTTTCTAGTACCAATCTTGGACCTCATAGTCCACCAGTTACTGGAGTTCCTCAATCAGTATGATAATATATAAACTATATGGTAAATAAAAACTTATCTCCTAACATTAATAAAAACCATATTAATATATAAAAATAACTTTTTAAAAAAGATGAACTTTATTTTTTGTATATTATTATTACTGTTTTTACTGTTATTGTTTTTTTATTATTATCAACAACAATATATTAGATAT